GAAGTGAAGTCCGTCAAAAAATTCGTCAAAAAATCGCCTCATGTAAAACCCATTCTGTCCACCATTTTCGATGCGGACTTAGGAAGCGGTGTCGCGGGTCAAGGTGCGGACCAATTCATGCTTCCACCACCCCCGTACCTACCGCAGCGCCCGCCGCTGCCGCCGCGGGGCCACCACCGCCGCTACCACCGCGAGGCCTACCACCGCCGCTACCACCGCGAGGCCTGCCACCGCCACTACCGCCCCGGGGCCTGCCGCCCCCTTCCCTCATGCACGTACTGCCACCTGATAACGGGGATAACAAATAGAGTACAAATTATCTGCACGGCAGAGCCACTTCCCCAGCCCACAATTACGTAACTTCTGACCGTGCGAATATTTTCTCCGTCATTCATTTATTTCGGTTATTTCGGTTATTTCTTCAATCACTCATGCATGCCACTCACTGTTCGAGTACGGCAGCGAGGCTAGGAGGGGAGATGAATAAGACATAAGAATGATGACGAAGGAAGTGGTAAGATGAAAGATTAGACAAAGGAAAGCTCTTATACATCGAAGGGGCCGGGGAAGCAAGGCGAGCACTCTAGTAAGGGATGGCATTATAACGAGTAGAACTCTAGGTCGCCTGCTTTCTCTCGGCATCTCGTGCCACCACGACTGCTTCGACAAGCTGCTTCATTACTTCCGCTTTATGGCGACCGACTTTCCAACACTTCGGCATGTGTTACCTCATGTTGAGTCGCAGGTGGGACAAACCTCCCAGCGAGCTGTAGTTATGATATTTTCAGGATGCTCAAGCCGGATTGGAAGGGATAAAACACTTTCCTCTGCTTCAAATTCTTCTCTCGGAGAGGCGTAGGTTTCAGGGATTACGACTACATTAGTTACCAATGACAGAACAATGACTTGCAACCCTGCTTGACAAGCAGCTACCTGCGCCGCGTTGCGTCTTCAACCGCAATATCCCGAGGACTAAGATGAAAGATGACTCACCACTTCAGGGATGGTACTCATTCCGACGACGTCGGCACCGATGCTGCGCAAGAATCGGCCCTCTGCAGGAGTTTCATATGTTGGGCCGCTAACCCATGCATACGTCCCCTCGGCAAGTGCATCTCGAGGGAGGCCTAGGTTGTAAGCAGCCTTAAAGACAAGCTTGCGGAGTGAGAATGAATAAGCATTAGAAAGGGGGACGAAGCGTGTGTCGAAAGGAGGTGTTAGGACGGGTCCTAGTAGTGCGTTTAGCGGTCCCTGCATAATAATTTAGCCTGGAGTGTCAAGGCTCCTCGTGGAGTCTGCTTACAGTTAAATTGGGCAAAGCAATGTGATCGTGAACCACGACGACTGGGTGGAAAGGAAGTTAGTCAAGGATTTGGGGAAGGTAGACGCGATTGTACTTGTCCCAACAGGGTTTGACGGGTTGAGGCCACCAGCGGCATTCGTGACTGGATAGGGGCGAAAGTCAATAACGGTCGATGGAAGTGAAGGTGGGAAGGGTGTCTCAACTTATGATGTCCTTTACTCCTAATAAAGCCAATAGGCGAATGGGGTAGACCACTTGAGATAGCTGGTAGCCTTCGTACGGATGAAACTGATATAATATCAGTATGCCCTATTATTACTAATGCCTGGACTTGATTGCTCACTCGTCCGAGCATTGCGACCACGGGGACACCTTCACCTTCGCCTATCAGACCGAATGCCAACGCACTAATTTGTCCTGGTACCGTGCTGGTGGCGAGACCTTCAATATCTGCATATGCAATTATGGTTCTCTCCCTCATAGACGCCCTAATGTCGAAAGGCCGGAACCACAGACAATTGCGATTTGCGGCGTCCTCAGTCGTTCGGATAGACGATCATGAATGATTTTCAGAGCCGAAGCGAAGGTAGTGAGGAGTTCAGTGGCTGCCCTCATGCGTTGCCTTGAGGTGTTACTTTGCAGAGTCACTTGTGCAGATCAGTCACTTGCTGCTGCGATATTAATAAATTCTCAACGCTGAAATTATGTCATCTACTTTCCTCTTTTGTCCGTGGGCCTATTCATTACTCATTTCTGTTTACTGTATGCTTGCCCTCCTCGTTCAATTATATCCGCCCAACTCCGCCCAACTCCGCTACATACAGGCGTGACTCCATTACGGCATATGCGAGGCTATTTCGATCTTTATTTGACCAATGATGAGATAATAATAACATCTCTCAGAAAGCTGCAATAACGCTGTCTATCTATCCTTGCAAGTCCAGCGGGTTTTCTCTTCCCCTTGTTCTCGTGCCACTAGCCGTCCTTTCCCTCCCACTTCTGTGTGACCAGGCCTATGGCCCTTCCTTGGTGCGTCCTGCTCCCAAGTTTTCTGTCTTCTTCCCTCTGTTGATCTTCTCGGGCGTTCAGTATGTCCTTGCTGTACTGTGCTGCCCACTGCTTTCCGCTCGTATCCTGTGGTCTTCTTACCTCTCCCTTTGAGCCCTCTTTCGGTATGTGTGTGCCTATCGTGTCCTTCCTCTCTGCCTGCTCGTTCTTTCCTTTTTCTCCTCTTTCGTTCTACTTTTCTTTATCTATTGTACATCGCCCACTATCGCCCTCAACTTCTTCTCCACCACTTTCTCCAATTCTTCCTCCCACCATTTTCTGCTCCCATTCAGATTTGGTTCGCTGGTTAAGTTCCGGTTGTTTGTCCTCCTCCAGTACATCGCAGGGCATCATTGCGAATAATGTATCTTTGAAATCCCGGATTAACCGCATTTTTTCTTGACCCCTAGCACGGGAAAGCGTCACGTATGCGTTAAAAGGTGTTAACGCTCCCCTTGGTGGCGTCCCGATGTCTGCCCATCGTTTGTCCTTGTGCTCGATAATCCATAAATCCATATGCGAGGTCCATGGTTATCTGCCGTCGCTCCACCTTCTTTTTTCCTTTCCCGCTAAACAAATCGATCGTGCGTACCACTGGAAAAATTGGGATCGTTTTCTCTCCTAAGTTGCCGATCTCAGGTCCCCGGATTCGTTCCATCTTCACCAATACACAGCAAGGCGGATATTTCACGTTCTGAACAACTCCCTCCCTCTGGGGCTCTTCCCGTGGATCTGCCCAGATGTCCACGATCTCTCTGCGCGCTCCGTTTGCTATGTCTGTGTCGATGTTGGATGTGATCATGACTTTGCATCCGATTGCCAGTTCCATTGTGCGTTGCAAGCCTCCTTGACGTTTCAACCGGGCTGAATACTGGTTGTCTTTTAGCACATGATGTGCCCACCGCTCACTCAACGTCAATTCTTGCCCTCGTATCGTATCCTCTGCGTGAAAACGATACAAGGTGTTTCCCGTCCTTTCACAATGCTTACGCAATGCCAGTTCATTCCATTGCGTTCACACTGCGTGATGTGATGTCACCAGTACCGCTCCCATTCTTCTGTATCCCAAGCTCTCAATATTCATCCCTCCCACCAACAGACTCCGTAGCATCGTCAAGTGCCGCTCTTCACACTTTCCGTGCCGGGCGTATCGAAGGAATTCCGTCCGTGCTTCGCCTTGCACCCGCACCTGCTGTGTTAGACACACTACTACTCGGAATCACGCGTAAAGCTCGCTCCCTGTCATCTCCTCTGCTGTATTATTTTCGCGGCTCAGTGGCCAGTAAAGGGGGGCACCTCGGCTTTGTTCCGCTGATGAAAATCTCCACAAATAATAACGTTAACTCCTCCCCATGGGTTTGTTGTAGTCTCCTCAGGATGAATGAGTTCCAAGACAGACGAAATTCGTCCCAATAACGTTCGAGACACCATCGAGTACTCGTCGATGATCAAATACTCCTTTTGCCACCAGTATCATGACAATTTTTCGATTTTCCGCCCACTCGGCATCTTTGCTCCACGTGCACCCAGTCCAAAAAGGACGTGTAAAGTCTTGCCCCCGATGAGACTTGCCGCTATTCCAGTGTAAGCCCCCAACGCAATCTTATCGCTCGCGTTTTGCTTCCTGAAATACTCTACCACTGAATGGATGACGCGTGACTTCCCTGGACCTCCTTCTCCTGTCAGAATCATTTGCAGTTGTTCTGGCTGTTCTCCCCGCTGCCTTGCTGCAAAGTGGTGCGTAATAATACTGTATGCACGTAGCTGGTCCTCATGAAAAGTTGACACATCGATTGTATCTAGAAACGTTTGAGACCTTTCCAGATACTCAACTGTACGTGCCATAACTCCTTCGTTTGGCGCTTGTGTGACGCTCGTCAGCTCTTCAATCCCTGTTACAGTTTCTTCTGTTCCGCTCTAGGTCTCTGCCTGCGTTTTCCTCATCAGTGCTTGTGACCATCGGGTAAAGTTGCTCAAGTCATTGCATGTTGCCGCTCAAACCGTCTCCTGCGTTATCGCCCACGCATTTGGTAGAACCAAGTGGAATTGGATCGGGTAGTTCCGCATTATGCTAGTCACGTGTGCCTGCTCAGGCGCCAGTTACTGTTTTGACTCCACTCAAACTAGATTGTCGTCAATGAACGATATTACTAAGGATAACCATGTTCCTACAACAAATATCTCAAGGAATTCGTCTGGAGAGTCTCTCGATAGGTTGGGAAACCCCAACAGCAGCCCAGGCATTCCTATTCCGTTAACAAGAGACGGGTTTTTTGGATATACTGACGAGAGAGTGATGCATAGTGTATGAGTATCGTCGTTTTGTTTACCGTTAGCCCGTTAACCGCTCTGCCGCCGCCTTCTGTATTTCCAGATAGAGGGGAAATATTACGCACAACAGCATTCTACTTCCGGATCCTTGCTGTCTACTAGTCCGGGACATGTCAGCGAACTTGGTCTCGGTTTTACTCCTATCTCCCCAACAACTTCTGCGCGCCCTCCTTCACCGAGTGAGATTCCTAACTTGACGCTCCCTCCGGAAATGTTTGCAGATGACAGCGCGATCGACGGAGAAGAGGAGGACGAGCACTCGAAGGATGTGCATACCCATTCTGTTCCTCGTTAGTCATGACCCAGTCGTTCTTCCAACTATTTTTGTTCCAAAGTTCTGAAATGCGCTCGTAGAACCTCAGCTGGCATTGTCACCTGAAATGAAAGCACTGTATGCCTTGTTTCAGAAGTGTCTAGAACTCCGTGACAAATACATGCAGCGCTCACTTCAGCGATTGGGCGACAATCCACGCGACCACGATGCAGAATTCGCTGACATAGATGAGTCCGTCCGTGATGTGCCTTGTATCAAGGTAGATGCACCAATCACCTCCTACCCCCGTGCAAACCCTGCAGCCCAGGATAATCCCAAGAGAGAGCATATCGCATGGGAGATTTTCCCGCCTCCACCACCACCACATTGGCATCGGAGTGACGCTGGGTCTCTTGAAGCCCACCCGAACCCTGCCACCGATCGAAAACACGTTAGCGGTAACGAAGAATTCGATTTTACAAAATGCGAGATTCCAGGCATTGCTGAGGGAGATATGGCGACTTGGGATTTTGCACTGGACGAAGGGGTATATCAAACCTATGATGCGATTTCTTGCGTCCAGACTGCATCCGAAGCACCAGGCTCTCGGAAACCCCTTTTTGACATTCCGTCGATCCGGGAATATTTCATGGATCTGGATTATGTTCTTGGTGTCATTTCGGATGGCCCTAATAAGAGCTTTGCCTTTCGGCGACTGAAGTATTTGCAAAACAAAATGTCTATGTACACCTTACTCTATGAGTTTAAGGAGCTTGCTGAAATGAAAGTGAGTGATTTGTTGCACTCATCATGTTAATATCTCACGTTCACGTCCCCTTAGAGGGTTCCACATCGGTAAGACTGCATTCGGCGCTAACGAATGACCTACGGACCGACAACCTTCTACAGTGATTTCTACAATACCCGTAAGGTGGACACCCACGTACACCACTCCAGCAGCATGAATCAGAAGCACCTCCTGCGATTCATCAAACACAAGATGAAATGTAACCCTGATGTAAGCAGGATTCGCTGCTTGCCTCGACCTATCCAATTCAATCTTTTCGTTATCTTGATAGGACGTGGTCATATTCCGGGACAACAAATATCTGACGCTTACACAAGTTTTCCAGTCGCTGAACCTTAGTGCATATGATTTGTCCATCGACACATTGGATATGCATGCCCATCAGGATTCCTTCCATCGTTTCGACAAGTTCAACCTAAAATACAATCCCATCGGAGAGAGTAGACTAAGAGAAATATTCCTTAAGACAGATAACCTTATCAAAGGGAGATATTTGGCAGAATTGACTCAGGGTACGTTCAATGTTTCGACCCGATCCTCGTTTAGGTTCTCATGGAATTCCTGTTTGCTTAGAGCTAATGAATGACCTAGAACAGAGCAAATACCAGGTATGCACTTTCCCGTGGACTATCTGATTCTCCGAGGCTTATCAGTATCTTTGAAGAACTGCGAATGGCGGATTAGCATTTATGGACGCTCTCTTGAGGAATGGGACAAGCTCGCTAAATGGATAATCAACAACAAACTTTACTCGCATAATGTTAGGTGGCTGGTTCAAGTGCCCCGTTTATACAGTCTTTACAAGGAGGCCGGGACCATCGATAATTTTGAAGATTTAATCCGAAGTGCGTATCGCGCCGACCCACGGACTTCATTAATTTCTCACCCATTAGATATCTTCCAACCCCTATTCGAAGTCACCAAGGATCCCAGCTCTCACCCTGAGCTTCATGTGTTCCTTCGGCGTGTGGTTGGCTTTGACAGCGTGGACGACGAATCGAAACCAGAACGACGAATGCATCGAAAATACCCCCGTGCAAAATCATGGAATACAACTCAGAACCCTCCGTACAGCTACTGGTGAGAATGGTAGATGAATGACCAGCTGAGTATACTCGCTAAGATTGCCTACCAATGCAGGACCTATTATATGTATGCCAATATGGCGGACCTTAACAACTGGCGGAGAGCTCGTGGATTCAGTTGCGTTGACCAATACTCTGAATCGAGGGCTCCTCTTCTAATCAACTCCTTAACTAGATACGTTCGTCTTTCGCCCACATTGTGGGGAAGCTGGGGACACAGATAACTTGACTTCAGCATTCTTGGCAGCTCACTCCATCTCTCATGGTATCCTGCTTCGGAAAGTGCCAGCCCTTCAATATTTATTCTATCTCAAGCAGATAGGAATGGCCATGAGTCCCCTGAGCAATAATGCGCTGTTTCTAACTTACGAAAGGAATCCATTCCCCGACTTTTTTAATACTGGACTGAATGTCAGCCTGAGTACTGACGATCCACTTCAATTCCATTACACCAAGGTGGGGAGGGACATAATTTGCTGCCAAACATATGGATGGACTGACGGTGCTCAATCTTATCAGGAGCCATTGCTTGAGGAATATAGTGTTGCAACCCACGTATGGCGCGTCACCTAAGCATTTAGGGATTACTCCAGCTAAACTCGGAAGGGGTATAGATTTACAAGTTTCCTCAAGCCTCGCTGGCAGAGTTGGCGCGCAATTCCGTGATTCAATCCGGCTTCGAGATGGAAATCAAACGTCATTGGCTCGGGAAGAATTGGTATCTTCCTGGGGCGGAGGGAAATGATATCCATAAGGTTCGTTGTCCCTTCGGTAAATTTACTTGAGGATTGATGTTTGATCTTCCGAAGACGAACCTACCCGATATCCGCCTCATGTATCGCCACGATACCCTGCTGCAAGAATTGGAAATGATACGTTCGAGCGGAGACAAAGTACCGAGTCTTGCTGACCTTTCCGAGCGATACCAGAATTCGGTCGAAATGGCGAATTGAAAGGAGGCATCACGAGTCGCCAAGACATGGCCAATTTCCTCCTATCGCCACTTCCCCTTGTATTCTCTGGCCTAGAGCTCTTGCCAAGTCCCGCAACTCGCTTGCATCATCCATTGCGCCGCGTCTCGTGTAGCACGGGCGCTACTGTTCCTTCTGGTTGCATTTACATTCATACAGTAGAACCGATCTTGTATCGATCTTTTCCAACCAGGCTGCCAAAACGATTGGAACGCGATCAACAACGTGTCTGCCCGTTGATTTTTGATTAGGGGTAGCTACCTGATTCGATGGGCTTTAGACATGTACTTTAAGGGGCTAATCGACCAACCCCCCGACCTACGACTGCCATGAGGATGGTCAGTAAACCTTGAGGACAGCAATCATGTCTTACCTCTTAAATACGATGTTAGCCTAGTTTCCTTGCGTGCGGTGTGGCCATTGCGCTCTTTTGCACAGGATGTGTTTACGCTACCGTCCCTTATGAGGATCTCGCCCTCAGATACGCCCCTCAATTTCGTTTGCAGTACGCCTTGCATTCCCTAATCACCGACTGCCTGTTATTCTCCCTACGGAATAGCGGGTCCTATAAATTTTCGCGAATACCCCCGATGCGACTAAACGGGCGCGAAATGATGTGTACACCGTATTCAAATTAAGAATTTTAACACGCAAAATCGCCACAGGCGCCCTAATCAACATATGACACCCCTTGGACAATGTCCAAGACTTCATGAGTGAATTTTTTTTTTTGATCTTGATGCCACCAGCATCACGGAGGAAAATCCCTTCGGACGAACTTCGGATGTGGGCCAGAGCCCCGAAGAACAGTGTGGTGGATCCACTAAAAACCCCCGGTTCGTTGTAGTTAAGATACATGACTAAAAGTGATCGCAGTAACTGGATCCGGAAGTACCGTACACGTGTTGGGTAGCATCCTGACGACCGGCTTCCTTCTTGCGCGCAAGGGCAAGGCCCCTGCGCAAGGGGCGGGTCTCAATCCAGGGTCGTTCCGGCGCACTAGGCCGTACTGGAGCGGAGTATGGGCAGAGATTGGTGGTGAGGGCCAAGATGCACCATCTCACTTACTGCACGTACAATTTATCCGAGGCAGTTGAAAGTGTTGAAGAGTAGAGTGGATAGGGGTAAAGGATATAATGGCCCAAGGAGGCACTGTCACCGAGAAAAAGTCCCCTTCATCGCAAAGTCCAGCCAGCAGATCTCTCAAATGAGGGCGCTAGCAACCTTAAAGAGCCTGCTGGGGGTCTTTGCTGATGTTGATGAAGCTAGTCACACAATGGGCCGCCCTGCACTGAAATCGGGGTGCAAACCTTGTGCAAGGCCCGGGCAAGAATGGCCGAGAGAAGTAAGTGGTGTGAATCTAGAGGCGCACCTGGCAGTCTTGATGTGATCAGACGCTATCGGAGATGGGGGGATGGGAGGCAGAGGTCGTCCAGGTGGGTTTTTATACACGTCCTGTCAGAGGGCTTGATCATGATCTTGACTGAAATCGTTCAGACCAGTCAAGATCGGGAGTGTGTGGCATCTGCGACTCACATCACTCAATTCAGGTTGAATGATCCAGGATGGTCTGAGAGACGCATTTGCGCTGAGTGAAACCCGGAAGCGTGGGCCCGAGGGACGGCCGGCATGCTCATATACTGACGCACCGGAGAATGTTTCGACTAATGCTGTCCCAGACCATCTACTAGAACTGAGTGGAATTTGGTCCACGATGTGTGGGGGGTAGATCGTAGCACATCAGTGAGACAAGACAGTGTCTATTTGACACAATGCCGGTGAAAGACGGCTTGTCTGGGTCTGGCTCACCCTGCCGGAACCTTCTAAGTACCCATATATTTTGTGTTCCATCCTTAAAGGGGTCAGGTGCAGTAGCCTTTTTCCTTTCAGGGGTAAAACATTATATTCAGAGGGAACCGTCAGACTCAGGTTAGAACAAAGCATGACGTGAGGCGAGATTAGTTTCTGGTCAGTGTTCGATCGGCAAACTCCACGAATTCACCTGGCCTCCGACGTTGCTTGGGTGTTTTTTTTTCCTTGGCTTCGGTATCGGTTCTCACACAAAGCTTGATCAGATCAAATGCCGGTACTTGTTCAAGTTGTTGGAAAGCGATCTGAAACACGTATTTACAATGTGTTTGCACCAACAAGTCTATCTTCAAAGTCTATTCGCCATCTGCACTGTCTTGGACTAAAATAGAATACTTCCAAGGCCGATGACAAGCAATTCATTGTTCCGGACTATGTAAAAACGCGACGCCGCCTTGGTCTTGTTCATTACCTCAGCAACTCGTCATTCCTCGTCCTCTTCTATGATCACAACAGACGGATGGCAAGACCTCTTCTCAATGCAATGCAGCTCTTACGTTTCGACCCGAACAGACCCGTGAAATTTTCGCGTTGCGCTTCATTGGTGTCGATCCCAGTAGTTGCCGATCGGTAAGCTAGTTATGTCGGGATACTCAACTTGACGACTGCGCCTAATTAATTTACATATAGGCATGTGAATCGTCATGGGAGCTAGCAGGTACACCAGTAGCAGATCGATATTACAGCGGTTTTGTGAGAAAGTGGCAGTCGAAAAGTGAAAGGGAAAAAGAGAAGCTAGCTCTTCCGGAACCGGAAATCCCGAAACCTTCACTCACTATCACTGGACAAGCCCGCAATCATGCTACTAAAAGCACTGCCAAGAACGCTGGATGCAATAATAACACTGGTAGTCTTTGGCTGCCCTTCCTAGCTTTGACGCGGTGCTTTCTCCGTTTCTCCCGGTTCTTCTCCCTCTTCGTCTTAGCTTGTCCACTTTTCTCTTGGAATTTTTGAGCTTCGTCAGGGTCAATCTCATCTTCCGCTGTTTTCCAAACTCTCCTCTTAAGTATGAAACTGATAAAGGCAACCGAAATGGCTACCCATGGCCGCGCGACTTGCTGCCAGTCACCGAAGTCAGAGTGGGCGTTTGGGCCAATGAGGGATTATTTGGGGCATACCGCGACGATTCGAGGAGCAATTTGGAAAAGTAAGGTTGTCAGCTTTTCGCCCATATCTTTGATGATATCCCATATAGCCAAACAGGTAATGCCCTCTGGAGTTGCCTTCCCGTTTAGTAGCGAACCCTATGAGGAGCAGACAAGCGTCACATACCCTTTGGAATAGATGCCTATTTGTCAGTTGGCAGAAGCTCTTTTGCTTGCCACAATGCAAGAGCAATCGCAACGCCTAGCCCTGCGACGCCTAGCACCGCGTGCAGCTGTTCCGCAGAGTTCGGAAGTGCCTGCAAATCAATTGAAATTTGGGGTGAGAGTGTGAGATTGTAATAAAGAGGATGTTGTTACATTTCCCAGCGAACGCATTCCCAACAGTGCCTTGAAGTGCTGGGCGTAATATCTCCCATATCACAGTACTGACACTCGTGTTAAATGATGTTTCCTGGTACGAATAAAGTCAAAGCACACTCCCGCGGGAGTGTTGAAGATCTGGACATGCTACGTTGGCAAGTTTTGGCTCAAAATCCGTCATTATTCCACGAAGACCAAAACGATGAGTGGGAGGAGCTAGACTCTATGAACAGGGGCATTGCGGCCTTACTTAGGCAAAAGACGATTGATACACGCCACGATTGCATGGTTCTGTAGAACCACCTTGCGACCCAAACTGGGTTCTCCGCTTCTGGCTAGTCCTCACAGCTTATCGTTGTTTCTTGTAGCTATGGCTAATCCCCCACTTTCATATAGACAATTTAATGATATGGGAGACAACTGAAATGGAAGCTCCATAAAATCGGTAAGCAATTAGTAATATAAAGCAGGCACAGTATTTACCATCTTGACAAATTAAACAAACAATAGTCATATATTTCATGGATGATCCAACTACTTTCGGCACCACGAAAATGACGAAAAAAATGTAGAATCGAATACCCCAGGATAACAGCGAGGCCAAGCATGGAGTAGGCCCCCAAGGTAGTTCAGCGTCCCAATTAACGATCGATGGGCCGTGTTTACTGTTCAAAAAATTCGGGAAATTCCTGTCTCAGCTAGCGAGATCTTAAGGTGTCATTCTCTACCAGAATTGTTGGCAAAATTCTGGAGTGTTCTGACTCAGAGGCTGGTATCCTGCCTTACGTCCTAACAACGGCCATGGGCGGGCCGATGCGTGGTGCCAGCGCCCCACTCCATCGTGCTTGCGGCAGTGGCAATCCTTTCGCCTTACCTAGTCAGCATGGAGCGAGTGCTGTGGATCAATGATAAAGCCATGAGGCGCTAGCAGATTTCAGATCGGCAATCTGCATGAAGGCTTTGGGTTCATTATAATTTAACAGGGGTGAGTACCATTCACTGAAGTCTGGGCACTGCCTTCACTTGGGGCGCAACTATGATCTCCAATCCTCCGAGGCTTGGTGCGGCGCTCACTCAGCCTGTTCTCCGTCGTTGGCAGTTCTCCTCGGGGTCACCTTTCCGCCGGCACCATTTGGTGTGCCGCTGCACAAAAGATCGGCACGCTCTTATAGGTATCCCATTTGCCTCAGCACTCTCCAAACTATAACAAGTGTGCGAATGGATAAAACCAGAAGAACTAGCCAATGCGGCCCGGAGGCCTGCAAACTGGAGTCAGAGTGGGCGCTTGGAACAATAGGGAATTGCTTGTGACATACTACGATAACTGTGGGAGCGACGTAGATGAGTAGCAATTCACACGTGAATCTGGCCCAATCCAATGGGGTGTGACAGTTATGGATCCCTGGAATAGCTTGGCGTTTAGTAGCGAGCTTCATGAGGAGCGGATAGGGGTGTCACGTACGCTCCATGAGGGATTCAATCTCCTCAACAATTACCACCCCTACTGCATGCAATATCCTGCCCAGTAGTTCTATGGACTTCCGAAGTGCCTGTGGCCGAAGTACGGTGAGGGTAAGATTTGCAGCAACAAAATTTTTGTTACATTCACCAATAATTCCTTTACTTTAGCAAGCGCGCCCTTAATAGCTTCAAATGCCTGACGTAACATCTCCCATATGGTATTCAAAACCATGTCAGATGAAGTTCGCTAATATAAACCAGGTCAGAGCATGTTCGTTCATTAGGAAATGTGGAATATTCGGATACTCAGTTGGCTGGGGTTTTGTTGTTATGAAGACGATGGGAAAGGAGAGGAGAGACTCGATCCATCATATCAACAATAACGTGCAGTCTTATAGGGGGGATACACGCCGTGATCGCACGGTCCTTGCAGAAACCCTTGGGCCCAGGGGTGATTCCCCACTTGTGGCTGACCCTCATGGCTTATGGCTGGTTCCCAGTGTAATCCCCCACTGCGCAGAAAAATGAAACCTACAACATTCGTGAGCCTATGATAATACGGCCCGGCCGCGCGGGTATTCTCAATTACGAAAACCTAGTCCCATACTAGGCAAGGGATTTACAACCAAGACAAAGGTACCGGACAGTCCTTTATAACTGTTTTTGTTTTCAAGCCTGGGGCACTGTTATCCTTGACTTCCGATTAACAAAGTAGATCTATATGATCCAGGCAGAGTTTCTCGCCAACAAAATTGACAAACTCAAAATGGTACCTTGGAACATATTGTACTCCTGAACTTTATTGCGCTTGCGGTAACAATTTATTGACATGACAGCCCCAAAGTCTAGACTTCGCTTTAGTATGAGGGTTGACTTCGGCTTTGGCGGCCCAAAGGACTGCGGTGACGATCTATATCTAGGATCCCTTCGATCGCCCAGTCTGGCCGGATTCTAACTTGAGAATCACTTCTGTTTTTTTGACAGATCATTTCTCACTTAAAACTTTTGGCCAAGCTCACGAGGTGTCTGTTTATTCTTTTCCGTGCATCACCAGCCAACATCGGATCCAAATCTACGCGCACGCAATTTTCGCATCGTGGCAACTTGTAGCATGCGCGACCTGGACCCCCCCTATAGATGTGTCAAGGCTTTTGCCTGCTGATTCATGCCACACACACACAATGAGAGTTTGATTAGTTCGTGAGGCATTTTGCAGGTTGGTTGAATTTGGCCAACCGAGACAAAGGTATAGCGCGCGCTTACGGTGAGTTGGAAGCATTACCGATGCGTGATATTGTGATGGCACTGTAGATCAGGCAAAAGACCATATGAACATCGACTCAGCATGGTAACCACTAAAGCATCCCCCACCGCCCGACTGCCACAGGATCCCCATCGTAGCGCCTTTCGTCACGCCAGCCCCCCGGATCCTGACAAATTTACACCTTCTGTATTTTGCATGTGCGCAAGCACCAGCGCAAATCAAGCTCGTAATTAAGTCCCATAACATTAGCAAATAACAAAAAAGTGACATGATGCAGAACATGGAGAGCGCTAAAGGAAGAGACAGCATGAACAGAGATGTAACCGTGACTGACAAAAATGGCACAGCTCAAACACAGGGCCATCGATACTGGTAACACGGCATTGATTTACGCGAAAGCTAGGTCTTCCAGCTACATCAAGGTTGAAAGATTGACAAGGCTTTCGCGATCAGTGAACAAATCAGGTGTTATCATGCTGGTATTATATATACCTTTGGTCGCTGACGTAAGCGAGCACAAACGCCTTTTATCCTTTGCATAAATCGCAACAAATATCTACAGCATTAGGTGGTTAAAATGATAGATTAAGGTTAATGTCGCTTTCTCTCCCTGACCCCTTTCCATGGGGGGCGATGTCACTTGCCACCAGTCGACCAAACATCCCACAACCTTGCGAATGCACAGACAAAGGTCACCGGCCGGGATCAGTGCCTGCTGAAGCGGACCACACTTGGGTGCTTGCTAAAGAACAAATAATCCATTGTAAGTCGATAACTGGAGCGTCGTATATTGTTTGTCATTGAGGCTGGAGGAGGCCGTCCAATTGCGGTTGCGTGGGGTCAAGGCCTGTATTTGCACTTGTTTGTACCGACACCTTCTAACCATATTGTGTTCGTTCAACAGAAAGATGCTGTGGGGCAGCCACTACCCCAGCCACTCGGTGGAGCAGATGTCCATCAAACAGACCCCTCTCTATTTCGGGTTTACGCCACTCATGCTATAGGCGTTCGAGGGTGAGGATGGAAACTCGACAACCGAATTGTCCCATCGGTGTTCGTCCTTGTTGACTCCATAGAATCTCCCCTACGAAGTTGGGTTGTACATCCTGGCCAGGCTTTCTTGCAGAAGTAGTTTTTGTTCAGTGTTTCCCTGGTAAACCAACAATTCCAGTATTTTGCGTACCGACTGCTTTGGAAGAACTACACTATTCTGATGTCCGGAGGGCGACGGACTTTCCCGTTGTCCGAACGCTGTTGCTTGCTATTGGCATGTGCGAATATCCGATTTCATGTGTGCTCTCTGGACATTGGATTGACTGCCCCTTTTGGTGGAGAGGAGGATAGTGGCGAACCAAATGATTCATCACTTCTGCTGAGCTTTGTCGAGTCTCCCAAATCTTGTCAGCTTGAAGATTATCTAGAGGTCGTCTCATGAGATGATTGCAGTATCACTATAGCGCTGGGCCGCTCGATTCAAACTCAGATATCTATCCATCGACTTGATCTTTTACAGAAACCTTCATCAATAATTATACAGCTACTCATCACCAACCTGGAATTCTCGTCTCCGTCTGACTATCGAACGCCACTCTCCCCATCCGTTGCACTCTTTGCACACTCCAGTACAACCACATTATGCCAACGCCAGGGCGAAGACACACCTGCTGGATCATGTTTGACTCAGCGTTTCCAGCAGATGGTCCACTTCTGGTCCTTTCAAGTCCAAACGGACGATGAGCCACGTAGCCATTGAGATCATCCAATTTCAAGTTGTAGACACCAACCCTGATCGCTAGAGGAAGGTCAGCAGTTCGTTCGTTGACTCGCCTGATGAATTCTTTCGACACGTTTAGCAATTCATCGCTCCCGAAATACAGCCTATGAGACCATAAAGTTGTTCTCAACAACATCCTTGTGATGATTGGCACGCAGTCATGCTCTATCTGTTACCCAGAGTTCCCGGTTACGGGAAATCTCATATGGTCGGCCAACTAGCCACTCTTGTGTTCACGTTACCCCTCAATCTCTGAAATCCCTTCGAGAGTCGAGGTGTCGAGCCGAGTGGAAGCTTAATCAGCGCGGTTTGTGCCGGTGCTGTTCGCGAGTATTGCAATTTTTTTCTTTTAACTGGCTATAGGAGCCGAGGTCCCTGACATCCGTTATGGTAGCAGGGATCAATGGCGTGGCGTTCTTCCAGAAGTGAAGACATCACTCACCGGATATGACCTTGATGCGGCGTTGTGGGCCAGTGCGGGAAAAAAAGTCGATCCGCTATTTTCAATTCAAACATCTCGGCCTGCATGATGGCGAGGAAGATTCAGATGTTGGTGCCCGCTGATGAACCTCCCACCTGGTTACATGGGTTCTCACCAGCAGGGCAACCGCTTTTTTTCCCCTCTACATCTTGGCCGTTCGTGAGCGTTTAGGTCCTGGTCATCTGAACCCGCCGTGGTGAACGTATTCTTTGACTGACTAAACGTTCTTGAGCACACCCGACCTCGACTTTTATTCGTTCTCCAGTTCTTACTATGGCTGTTCCTTCTGCAGCCAGACTCATTCTTGGTCTCGTCTTTTCGTTGCGCCTCACCCCATGGGCACACGCCGCCGTCGTCATCTCTGACCCGAAGCTCGTTTCCAACAAGACATATGACTATATTGTCGTTGGCGGCGGTCTAGCGGGATTGACGGTGAGTTCAGTATCTATTTATTCACACATTAGTGCTCACCGCTGGTGCATCCGAGTTCTCTAGGTGGCCGGACGGCTCGTGCAAGACCCGGCGGTCACGGTCCTGGTCATCGAAGCCGGAAACGATGATCGAAACGATCCACGCGTGTTCGACATCTACCAATTTGGACAAGCCTACTTCTCTTCTCTTGACTGGAGTTACCCCGCTGAGGGTGGGAGGAGTATCCGGGCGTGAGTTTTCTTCTAAGACTCACGACTTGTTGAAGTCGCAACAACTGACGGTATTGAGTATCTTGTAACTAACGCAGGGGAAAAACTTTAGGCGGTAGCTCATCCATCAACGGTGCTACCTGGACGCGTGGAACACAAGCACAATACGATGCCCTAACCCAACTCCTTTCGCCTGAAGACCAATCCGCCAATCTAGGTTGGAATTGGGCTTCCCTTTCATCCTACATGCGTAAAGCAGAAAAGTTCAACCCTCCATCTGCTGCTCAACGGGCTAAAGGAGCCGATGATATTGCTAGCTATCATGGAAGTTTTGGCCCTGTGAATGTTGCTTTTCCTCAGAAAATGTATGGCGGACCCCAGCAAAAGGCATTTGCGAATACCGTAGTCAAGTTCGGGGTGGCAAAATCTAGGGATTTGAATGGGGGCCAACCCAACTGTGTTGCGTTCACTCCTAATGTAAGCGAGTTATAACCCTTTCTTATGTAACAGTGCTGCTGATGCGGATGTTCCTGCTGCGATTCTATTATGTAGTCCATAAACCCCTCCGATGGAGACCATCGTTCCTCATCTGCGTCCTCATACCTCACTCCCGTCGAGACCAAACGTAAAGGATGGACGGTCCTGGTTGGACAACAAGCCACCAAGATCATCTTCAACCCATCCACATCCCTCCCTCGTATCGCAACGGGTGTACAATTTGGTACGTCCAACGGAGCGAGGTACATCGCAAACGCTCGAAAAGAGGTTATCGTTGCTGCGGGTGCTATCGGATCTCCTGCTTTCCTTCAGTTTTCCGGTGTAGGCGATCCGACCGCGTTATCGCGATTTGGGATCAATACTGTCGTGAACCTTCCTACTGTTGGGAAGAATTTACAGGAGCAGAGTCTGACTGCTCAAGGTGCCAGGGGAACGGGTTTTAACGTGGGAGGAAGTGGACCATCGGATGTCATTGCTTTCCCTAATATTTATCAAGTAATTTGGCAGTATAAATGAAACACACTTGGTCGGCACCGCTCACATTGTCTTCTTTTCCAGTTATTCGGGAGCAGTGCTCAGACGATGGTTACGCACATTAAATCGTCCTTATCCGCTTGGGCTTCCTCCCAAGCTGGCAATGCTCTTTCTGCGGTAGCTTTGCAGAAGATCTACCAGATTCAGGCCAACCTTATCATCTATAACAACGGTGCGATTTCTTCTGTCCGCACAATCGCTGCTAATCCACTGATGTTACCTCAACAGCGCCTATTGCTGAGATTTTCTCCGCTACTGGATACCCTGATAAAGTTGGAACTGCAAACTGGCCACTGCTTCCTTTTTCTCGTGGTAACGTCAGAATTACGGTGCGTCATGATCATCTTGCCTACGTACAACGAGTTATTATTCTTAACTTGCGCGGTATTGTTACCACACGTGCGCAATGTAAGTACAGTCCAGCAACCCTTTCGAGAAGCCTCAGACAACTGTCAATTGGTTCGCCATTGATTTTGACTTGAGCGTCCAAGTTGCCATCGGTCGTTTCGTTCGTCGGCTCTTCCAAACTACCCCTCTCAGGTTAGTTAGTTAGCTTTCCACGTTCCACGTTCCCTCGTATACATAATAACCAAAATACCCACCTTTTGTGTGTGCTGTGTGCCGCGAACTAATACGGTATCGTAATTCCACGAACGAACAGCTCGTTGACGCAAGGCGAAACTTCGCCTGGTTTCTCTGCTGTTCCTGATAACGCCCAACATGGGACGGATCAAGCGTGGTCGAGTTGGATTAATAATACGTTCGTGGCCGTGAGTCACCCTATCGCCACCTGCGCAATGATGGATCGAGCTTTGGGAGGTATGTGATTAATAGCACGGCACGAGCGCAGTTTGATGCCACTATTTCTATCGGCTTCAAAACGGAATATAATGCTGTTGCTTTTAGGTGTTGTCGACGGTCATTTATTGGTGTATGATACGAAGAACGTTCGTGTCATCGATGCATCGATCCTTCCGCTTCAAGTGAGCGCACATCTGTCGAGTACGATATATGGTATTGCGGAGAAAGCTGCGGATATCATCAAAGCCGCAGCATGAATGTTGCTGAACTGCCGACAACGAGTGATGAATATTTGCGTTTGTTTCTCCCTCAATCTTTGGTCCCGTTGTCTTTGGGGACTTTGTTTTCATATTGCTTGCACTTATTTGTGACTCGGTTCTCCGAGTGCATTTCACAACGTTAATGTTCTTACTACATCGCTGCAGTCTTTTTGGAATATAAGTGGGAAACGAGAGCCAGAAACAACTGTTTTATTTTGGTACTTGGTGACTCTGAAACACCCCACGAAGATTAACTACGGGTTCAAATCCAACTTCTGGAGTTCGCTAGCTACGGTTAATCATGACCCAAGGGAGTGGAAGGTATTATTGGGTTGCCATCGATGACCCCCAGCGGTCAGTTGTACATACCGGTTCATGACTTCCGCATTCGCTGACTGCGAACCTCTCCTTATTCCGCCACCAAAAAGAAATAGTATTCGGATGCGATAGACTTGGGGCAATTTCCAAACAAGGCTCCTGAAACAAGCGAAACTCATGCAGTCTGAGGGGGGGGGGCGTGCGACGTCCCGATTCCCGAGCAAAGGATCTCTCTGAGAAATCGAACGAGACTGAAAGAGACGGACGTACGCCTCGACCGTGCTGATGAACAAGCAACAGCGGCTAGACAGACGATGGAACCCAGTCTTTTTAATCCAATTCTGAAAACTGTACGTTGTGTCACGGACAATACGGTGACTTTTCTCCCAGATTGGTAACTGCTTCGTGACATAACTGAATTTCAATTAGTTGATCTAGGAAACGCTAAGCAAAGGTCAGGATTATCCGATCCTGGATCATGCGGTCATGCGGTAGGAGGTACAGCCTAGTCAGCCATCTCCCCTCTATAGGCCGTCATTAGATGGCTGACTAGGCTGATTGTATTGCTATCAGTATGGGGGCCCCCCGGAATTTACCTGTGTTGCAGTGTTATACTATACACTCAATTGTGGAATTATGTTTACCCCCCTGAATAATATATGGGGGGCCCCATACTTGTAGCAATACAATTGGGGGATGGTGGAGCCATTTGCCACTGGGTCCATTGCACGTTACGCAAAGGCAGCCAGGAAGTAACGTGAAGGTGCTGATGTGATATCAAGTGAGAGCAACAACGGAACAGGCCACTACTCACTGTACAACGAGAAACTTTTCGCACTAATAGACTGCAAGGACGATGATTTGTGGCGTCGACTCGGATGATGGTGGAGGATGGCAAACGTGAGTGATACACGGGGTAGGCATCGGTGGCGTTGATTGAACTCGGCGTCGATAGCAATGGCCACAAAACGACCGCGTCAGGGTAAGCGCCCATGATGAAATTGAATGAGTGAAGTAGCAGGATGGAGAATGGTAGACATCGTGAGACGGAGGAATGTGCTGAATATGAGCAGAAACCAGGAGCAACGAACGAAGGTCTTCCATTGACATGATAAGTGGCGTACCAAACGCGGCTAGCACGCGAGGGAAAGGCAAAGCCAAGACTAAGGAAGGCTCGCATGCCACAGTATGTAAGCAGTGATACAAGCGGCCCCTCACTTCTGTTGAGGTTTATCAGTGAGGTCCAACGCGATTGTATGGCCCAGGACGCGCGCGTTTAGGTTTGTCTGGACAGTGGATTCTAGGGAGTATTAGTTAGGCGGGGCCGATTGTCTTTCGTTCATCGGCGTACTAAGATATCGAGAACGGTGCCCGAAATTAGCTGATCGGGAGGCGTAGATTGGTTTGAGAGAGACAACATCGGGGAGAAACGGGTGAGAGTGTCTGATTGTGGTGGAGCTGACGAAATAAGTGGGCTTTATCCATGTCCTCCCACAAAAACCCCCATTGAATCTCCTATCTGTTGGGCTACGCATTTCCGCATGATTAATTCGTCATCGCGTTGGGTTGATGCCTCAATGGATATATATAACTATGCAAAGGGAGACCGGCCTAGCTAAGTAGTTTTGCTAACTCCTCCGATCATATCGCAGGTGTTCCCAACAGAGCAAAGCTCAACGCGAGTTGCAGCGTGAGATCGAGTACGGGGTGTTTGCATATTAGCTCACGTAGAACCGCCAGAACGGCGCTTATTGTACTCTAAGGGCTTCCTGATTAGGTGACTTGAAGGGGCTGTACTCGATCGTCGTTGCAATATGTCCAAAATGTTCAGGAAAGTCAAGGAAGGCAAGGAGAAACTCAAGGAAAAATTCTCCAAGAAGAAAGATACATCATCGCAAAGTCTGCCACTTGCAGGGGCCTCTGCCACAACCACGCTGCCATCGTCAAGTTGGGACACGGGACTCAACACGGGACTCAGCACGTGGAATGGTGTTCTGAGCTTGTTGAGTATCGCTGAAAAGACTCTCGATAGTGTCCCGGTTCCTGGACTCAAGAGCGCGATCAGTGGCTTCCTTGAAGTAGTCAATCAGTTGAAAGTGAGTGAGATCCAGAACTGCGCCAGCGGATCCTTAATGCCCGGATCTTACAGCAAGTTAGTGGCAACGCCGATGCGATCAGTCAACTCGAGAACAGTGTCAAATTCTTTAACCGGTCCGTATCGGAGCCGCTGGAACAGTATAAGGGAAAAGGTGCTGTTCCACCCGAGCTTGCCCAAGCAATCGATGCATTGTCGGCGTGCGTTTGAGAGTATCTCGGAGTCGGAATAATTCTGAATTCCCCTGTCAGTAATCTGGATGAGGTTATCTCGCCCTTAAAATCGCACCAGGGCCAAAGTCGTGTTCAGCGGTGGGCGGATCGTAACAAAATCGGCGGCGATGTCCAGGAAGCTGGGGAAGGGATACGTGATGCTGTGAGGGCCTTTCAAGTAAGTTTTCTCCACGACGTGTAAGCCATGCATCAAACGTTAATTAATGGACATAGGCTGCGCAAGTAGTTCGACTTGCCTTAGGGATTGAGGTGCGGTTCGGTTTACAGTTATCCTCCTAGCTCCCAAGCTAACCAATAGTGTAGCAACTTCGCTTGGATTCTCATCTTAACACTCTTTCTCATACACTTGACGCCGGCTATGACACCAGCAGGCAGGGCGCCCCATCCAACTGTTTCCCCGGAACGCGAACCGAAATCCTTGATCACATCAAGCAATGGTTGCACCGACCAATCAGCGATACAAGTAAATCTGTGTTCTGGGTGAACGGCCTGGCCGGGATTGGCAAGTCGACCATCGCTTGCACCATGGCGCGGTACGCCAAGGAGTCTGGCCTTCTCGGGTCAAGCTTCTTTTTCGTCCGTCAACATGCAGGGTTGTCCAGTGCGAAATTCTTCCTTGGGACGATTGTACGGGACCTCGCCAAGAAGCTTTCGGCTTTCGGCGCGGCTGTTGCGGAAGCCTTGAAGAAAGATGAGAAGCTTGCCCGTGCCTCCCTTGCAACCCAATGCTCCGACCTCTTCTTCGTGCCCCTTCGACGCGTCGATCTTTCGGCACCTCTTTTACTAGTGATTGACGCTCTAGATGAGTGTAATCGAGACGAAGCAGACGGTGCGAAAGGAATACTCCGTCACCTTGTCGACTGCTGCACTGGCATCCCTGGCCTCCGTATACTCATAACAAGCCGCCCGGAGCGCCATATCACTGTCAAGCTCAACCAGGCCGCAAACATCGACAAGGTTGTAGTTCATGAAGTTGATAAGAATATTGTTTCTCACGACATTGAGCTATATCTCCAAGACCGGTTCAAGTCTATTCGCGAAGATTTTAGTGATATCATCCAGGATGAGTGGCCTTCATCCCAAACTGTCTTAGATCTCACAAGGAAAGCTGGCGGACTCTTCATCTGGGCTGCTACCGCATCCAAGTTCATCGGAGATGATAAGGCTATGGATCCTGAGCGTCGACTGTGCGCTGTATTGGGTGGTGCAGATCCGACTGATGCAAGTCCTTATGCTGACCTGGACAGCCTTTATAAAACAGTCTTGTCCACGGGTGTGGATGGAATCCCTCAAGATATACGTCCCCGGTTTTACCATCTTCTCCATACTGTTGTTCTGCTGAAAGATCCATTGCCTATGAAAGCACTTGGCACTTTCGCCACAGTCCCTGATCCGAAACCATTGCTAACCCGCATACAATCCATTATTCCACTACCCTCAGAGCTGGAGGGAAAAGTGGAGATCTATCACCCTTCTTTTCCGGATTTTATCATGGAACGGTGTGAGGATCTTGAAGTGAGGGTTGATGTGGAGAAGCATGGGAGGTGGATGGCCCTTCGCTGCCTCAATCTTCTCAATGAGAAGCTTGTTCCTGCAGTAGATGAGATTATTCCATGGAATTCGCTCAATGTAGGTGTGGAGAATCTTAGTGCCAAGCTTACCTCAGTAGTGGGGGAAGAAGTGCAGTATGCATGCCGCTTTTGGACATCCCATTTGGGAAAGGTTCAGCAGGTTGATGGTGAGGTTAGGGATATGCTGGAGAGGCTCACTGGTCTTGGGAATAATGTGGGAAAGGGTCTATTGTTACGGTGGATTGCCATGATGAGCATGATGGGTTGTGTGGGTGATGCAGCTAGGGGTATACAGGAAATCCTTCCCTGGATGGTCAGTGGTCAGGCTACTTGATTGATGATCATAGTACTGACTATTGAATTAGAGATCAAAAAGTCTCCTGGCTCACATTGCCCCTGTTTTTCATGAAGCCTTCCAGATGATTTTGACCTATGCCCCAACCATTGAAGCTAGTGCAGCACACATCAGCCAGTCTGTTTTACCATTCCTTCCCATCAATAGCCAGCTCTTGGGAGGTTTCCAACAAGGACCCAATCCAACTGTAATTGTGCATAATGGGCATGATTCAGATTGGCCCTCTAGCATTGCCACTCTGACTGGACATTCGGATCATGTGAAATCTGTGGCCTTCTCCCCAGATGGATTGCTCCTGGCATCAGCATCACATGATGAAACCATCAGGCTGTGGGATCCTCACACTGGGAGTCACCTCAAGACACTTGAGGGCCATTCTGATTGGGTGAGATCTGTGGCCTTCTCTCCAGATGGATTGCTCCTGGCATCAGCATCTGATGATCATACCATCAGGCTGTGGGACCCTCACACTGGGAGCCACCTCAGGACACTTGAGGGCCATTCTAGTTGGGTGACATCTGTGGCCTTCTCTCCAGATGGATTGCTCCTGGCATCAGCATCAGATGACCATACCATCAGGCTGTGGGACCCTCACACTGGGAGCCACTTCAAGACACTTGAGGGCCATTCTAATTGGGTGACATCTGTGGCCTTCTCTCCAGATGGATTGCTCCTGGCATCAGCATCTGATGATCATACCATCAGGCTGTGGGACCCTCACACTGGGAGCCACCTCAAGACACTTGAGGGCCATTCTAGTTGGGTGACATCTGTGGCATTCTCTCCAGATGGATTGCTCCTGGCATCAGCATCACAAGATGAAACTATCAGGCTGTGGGACCCTCATGCTGGGAGCCACCTCAAGACACTTGGGGGCCATTCTAATTGGGTGACATCTGTAGCTGTCTCTCCAGATGGATTGCTCCTGGTATCAGCATCACATGATTGTACCATCAGGCTGTGGGACCCTCATGCTGGGAGCCACCTCAAGACACTTGAGGGCCATTCTAATTGGGTGACATCTGTGGCCTTCTCTCCAGATGGATTGCTCCTGGCATCAGCATCACATGATTGTACAATCAGGCTGTGGGACCCTCATGCTGGGAGCCACCTCAAGACACCTGAGGGCCATTCTAGTTGGGTGACATCTGTGGCCTTCTCTCCAGATGGATTGCTCCTGGCATCAGCATCACAAGATGAAACCATCAGGCTGTGGGACCCTCATGCTGGGAACCACCTCAAGATGCTTGAGGGTCATTCTGATTGGGTGAGATCTGTGGCCTTCTCTCCAGATGGATTGGTCCTGGCATCAGCATCAGATGATCATACCATTAGGCTGTGGGATCCTCACACTGGGAGCCACCTCAAGACACTTGAGGACCATTCTAATCGGGTGATATCTGTGGCCTTCTCTCCAGATGGATTGCTCCTAGCATCAGCATCAGATGATCATACCATCAGGCTGTGGGATCCTCACACTGGGAGCCACCACAAGACACTTGAGGGCCATTCTGATTGGGTGAGATCTGTGGCCTTCTCTCCAGATGGATTGCTCCTGGCATCAGCGTCATATGATCATACCATTAGGCTGTGGGATCCTCACACTAGGAGCCACCTCAAGACACTTGAGGGCCATTCTAGTTGGGTGACATCTGTGGCCTTCTCTCCAGATGGATTGCTCCTGGCATCAGCATCACATGATGAAACCATCAGGCTGTGGGACCCTCACACTGGGAGCCACCTCAAGACACTTGAGGACCATTCTGATTGGGTGACATCTGTGGCCTTCTCTCCAGATGGATTACTCTTGGCATCATCATCAGATGATCATACGATCAGGCTGTGGGACCCCCACACTGGGAATCACCTCAGAACACATGAGAGCCACCCATGTTTGGTGACTCCTGAGGCTTTTGGCATACTTAACATGATGGAAGGGCAATGGCTTTGCATTGGCTCTACTTATATTTTTGCTATACCCCTTAATATTCTAACCACTCTTGTTTCCCATGGAAGTCTTACAGCTTTTGGAACTGAATCTGGAAAAGTCTCCATTCTCAATATTTCACCTGCCTTTGATAAGCTTGATAGTATATAAACTTGCCCAACAACTACTATGCCATATGGTTTAGTTTGCCACTATTTTCTGGACACTGAAAAGCACATCTGCCTGCACACAACCACCTATGATAACTCTGTATGCCTATAATTACTTACTCTGCAGTCTCACTTGCCATGGCACAATTATGTAAATTTCTGACATTGAAATTACATGGGTTACTGCATCATCTTGCTTATATCTCTATTGTTAGAAACAGCAGATTCAGATGGTTCCAGAAGTGGAACAAAGACTTGATGCATGAGGACCTTGGCCTCAGTGACTCAGAAGGGAGTGCTGCACCACTACTGTTTGTCTAAGAGGGTCCTTATTTCAGGGATGACAAGGTAAGTCTTGAGGGGGTGAATCAAGTGGGGATTCAAGTCAGACTTCTGGTTGCAATTTTAGACTGGGGTACAAACAATTATGTACATAGTCTATATATAAGGGGAAACAGGAGACAAGAGAACAAAGGGATCCTGTCAGGGACACACCTGGGGTCAAGGGGGTCAAGGTATAGCACCCAGTGCTAGAGACCTTACAGGGTGTGGAACAGGCATGCATACTGGCAGGCCTGATGCAGGAGAATGGTCCC